GGAAGAGACAGATATTTAACCCATCAAAGAAGCAAAGAGAGAGAAAAAAAAAAAAGAAAAAAAAAACGTAGTGAAGAAACGAGCCACGCCACGCTCAGATCTCTCTATATGATACACTATCACATGTCACTGATCTTCCATTGATGGCTTCGTGATCAGGTATAATCAATTCCTTAAAACTCTCTCTCTCTCTTTTAGCGGAATTTCAATTTAGCCGAGCCTTATTTGTCTGAGAAACCCAGGGTATATTGAAATCGAGTCCGGTTCCTTATTCAGATTCGATTCTTCGTTTTCCCTTCTTCTAGGGTTTAGTTTGTGCTAATTACCGTAGAATCGCATTCCGATGGCCCAAATTTTAGGAAATCGAACAATCCAGAGTTTATCGATCGGTCCTGCTTTTCATTTCCACGGTTTAGCTTAGTTTGGATTGAATCAATTCTGATGTGAATTGTGAATCCAGTGTGATCTGTGGGAATCCGATCTCTCTTTCTCTTTTTCTTTCTGGTTTTGAAATTCCCTATCTGGACGCAGAGACATATCTCGTAAACATTGTTTGGAGAAGCAATTGGATCATATGAGGTGTTCACTTGGTTGTATTGGTACTCCAGCTGTCAATTCAGATGTGCAATTTTTGCAAGCTTGCTTTAATAAGGAAATTTCCCTCAGAGTCACACAGGTTAGTTGTGGATAGCGTGCGTGCATGTTAATTTCATTCTTCGTGTTTATGCTTCGGGTTTTTTTTTTTATTTTTTTGGTCACTGAAAACATGCTATACTTGTCATTCTTGCCAAGAGTTTGAATTCTTCAACTCTTCTGTCATTCTTATTACCCTTTAGAAGAACTGAGGTGATAAATAGACACGTTTTGAAATATTTGAGGATTAAATTGTGAGTAAAAATGCATTGGAGTTATGGCCTTATGGTAATGGGAATTCATTTGCAGGTGAACAAGGCGAGACCTAATCCTTTGATCCGAGTAAGCACTGTTTTGCAGTTTCGTAAGCTTCGCAGAGTTGGACACAGGCTATCATGGCTGAAGGAGAGGAGCGTATTGAGCTTAAATTCCGCATATTTGATGGAACTGATATAGCACACAGTACTTATTCTTCATCTACGACAGTTGGTACCATTAAGCAAAAGCTAGTTGCTGAGTGGCCTCAAGGTTTGTCATGTGGGGGTGTGTCTGTATATAAGATTTTGTTAAGACTTTGTTACCATTTTGGTTCACTAACCCTAAACTTGGTAACAATTTGGTCGTTTCAAAATATTTGTGAGATCAAATTAGTTCTAAGACTTAAACTGACATCAAACTGGTTCAATTGATGTCACGGGTAGGACTGATTTGATGTTACAGCTTACAAATCTTTGGATCACCATATAGAATTAAGCATAACTTTAGAGGACAGAAATGCAGATTTTATCCTTTAACACCAATTTTATATCATGTTGATAATTCCCTATTTTATTTTCTCCAAGAACTAATTTAAATTTTAAAAAATACAATAGACTTACGTTTTGGCAATTGGTTGTAATATGTATCCAGCTATTTTATGCTTCATGGTTACAACAAGAATAACAACCATGCCTGGTTCCATTATTTTTAGTAAACCATAAATTACTCAAGTTAAAATTTGGCAGTTCTTTTGTTATTATATTTGTTGTTACAGAAATGCGTGTGTTGTTATGTGTGCTCTTATCATTTAGTTCAATTTGCGAGTCCAGAACCCCAGTCTCATATTTTCCACTAAAAAAATAAAAGAAACTCCAGATGATCGTTCTTGCACATAAATGTCTTGTTTTCCTTTTCTCATGAATACTTTCATTAATATACGTCAGTCTTGTTTATTTTCTCTTTTCTGCAACATGTTTGTCTTACCTTACAGTGGAATCTTTCTGTCTACAGGTAAAACAGTTATACCAAAGTCAGTAAGTGACTTAAAACTTATACACGCCGGTAAAGTTTTGGAAAACAGCAAAACTCTTGCTGATTCCAGAATAACGTTTAGTGACATCCCTGGTGCTGTTACCATGCATGTTGTAGTACAGCCTCCAGTAACAAAAAAGAAAACAGGTTTGCTCAATCTTTTCATCTGCACTCTTGCTCCAGTATATAGGTTGCATGGATATTGGCTTTGCTCAATCTTTTTTCACCTGTGCTTGTGCATGAGCATATAAGTGGCATACCGGCATGGATATCGGTAGGACCGACCATAGGATTACTGTATCAATAGTGGTACAGGTCCCAATACAATTTTTGAAAACAAAGATATGATGAGTATGGGATGATATGTTTTATAAAAATATAAAAAGCATAAATAATAAAGTAATTAATTAAAATCATTAAATAAATACATTTTCATGATGTTTTGATCGTGAGATTTCAACAATATTCTACTAAAGATTTGAAGCGTCATTACAACTTGTGTCATTTAGTAGCAAGCCAATCAATATATTAGCAAAAAAGTTGGTGTTTTGACTGAAATGGCTCGTTGTACTTGAAAGAGATGGTTGAGCAAAGCCAACAATATTTATGTTGCTTGAGCAACACGAACTCGAGGAATTCAATCACAAAATTTAAATAAAAATCCTAAAATTATTGATTATGCTTAATGTGTACCCAACATGTACTTGTATTGGATGCATTTAAGATTTAGACAACGTTTACAAGTACTTATATATCATTAACTTAATTTATTTAAATTTAGCATTTCATTGTGTCATATAATGTGTTGGTTGTCCCTAATCTTCTCAATTTTTGTTTGTATCCTACTTCCTTGATAAGTAAAAGATGTATAATAGAAACTTTTATAATTTCTATCAAGACTGATTTTTTTTCTTCTTCTTTTAACCTTTTACAGTTGCGCAACTCTTACGTGCACTAATTGTTTACAAGCTCGGTATCTTTTGTTATACCATGTTAAAAATTTTAAAAACATCATAGTAAATCTTGAAAATATTCATAAGTGAATAATATATTTAAAAGATCAAAATGTTCTGTTTTTTAGTGACCGATTTTATAGTTGCATTAATCCGTAGATCCATATAGTGACTTATATTTAGTTGCCTTTAAAGACTCAGACCAAAAATATTACCATATTTTTTAATGTGCTTTTCCCTCACCTTGCAGAGAAGAATCAGGAGGACAAGCAAAAGATGAATTCATGCTCATGCACTATCCTTTAGTTTAGGAAGCATACCTTGTGGTTGCCCTTGAAGATAAGGTTGCATTTTTCCTATTTTTAACTCTCGGGATGATGGGTAGGCCTGCGCTATCCAATACCTTGTGGTTACCTTTTCAAGACATGTTTGGCTTTGTAAAATCGTTGTTGCTTGCTTCTTTTAATGTTCGATTCATTTCTAGTCATTGTCTTCGGAGTGAAATCAGATATTAGCATTGTAAAATTCTGACCTCAACAAGTACAATAAGAGTGTTGCAAGGCACAAACCTTGGCTATAAGTCCAAAACAGGCGGCCCCGACATTGGATGAATGCATATTGTTTGAAAGTATATAAGTTGACACCCTCCACATATGACTTATCTGGATTCGCATGGATTAGCTTAGCACCATTTGACATTAAGTGTACCGCATCACTTTTTAATTACACACCTCATCCAAAATTGTAGTACTTGGCAATATTCAATTAACCCTTCATAGATTATGTTTATGCTAACTTTATGTAAAAAAAATTGGTGGTAGCTAATTCAATTAGTAAACCTGTAGAAAAAAAAAATTACACAATTTTTTCGATACGATACTAGATAATTTTTATCCGCATTGGTGTTTAAGAAAAAGATTTGTACTCACAAAGAGTACCAAACCATATCAATCTTTAATAGGTACCTATGCATCAAGATTTTGATTCACTAATATTGTATTAGTTAAATGAAATGTTATTCTCTTAACATTTTTTCTCAACAAAATAACACAATTTTAATGCTAAATTATAGAGAATAACGAAGAAGAAGAAAGCCTGACCGTATAACATCTCAAATAATAATTATGCGTAGAGATGCTTGTAGATTGAATTAAATCTATTTTGAGAATAAAGTTTTCCAATATATATATATATATATATATATATATATATATATATTATTTTTATATT